AGCACCGGCCCTTAGTCAGGAGGGCCTGAGTTTAAATCTGGCCTCAGACACTTGACACTTACTAGCTGTGTGACCCTGGGCAAGTCATTTAACCCCAATTGCCTCTCCAAAAAAATAAAATAAAATAAAGGCAGACCTAAAGATAATTCTTTAAGGCTAATGACTTCCCATAGGGACCTAGAAAGCTGTTGTGTTTTTTATTAACATTATTGTGAATATAATATAGCAGGCTTACAGGTAAGTCCCTGCCTCCTCGTTCATGGCAGATGCCTGGGATTCATATAAAAATTCAAGAATAAATCTGTTTCTAAGTGAGACAATACTCAAACCATGAGAAGACAAGGAGATGCTAAGCTGCCATCTGTTCAGTCCCTATGGAGACCCACTTCCACTGAGGAGCAGCGGAATCAGCCAGAGACATTGAGATAGGAACAAACACCTGATAAAGAGAAGCAATCGACCTATGAGCATTTGTGAAGGGCTTACAGTGCATCAGTCCCGATGCAGAGCACTTTTACTAAGAGCAAAACCACAGATTCATAACCTTGCTGGAGAGATCAGGACGGCACAGAACCACCAGCACTGATAAGTAGCAAGGAACAGAGACACAATAGAAAAGATAAAACACACAGATCTTGCCCTTGCTACAATAAAAACAGAAATAAGGGAGGCAGCTAGGTGGTGTAGTGGATAAAGCATTGGTCCTGAAGTCAGGAGGATCTGAGTTCAAGTCTGGTCTCAGACCAAACACTTGACACTTACTAGCTGTGTGACCCTGGGCAAGTCATGTAACCCTAATTGCCTAAAAATTTAAAAAAAAAAACAATCAAACAGAAGTAGGGCCTCAAGTTTACAGGTAAATAAAAATTGAAGAAAGACCTAATGCTTAGTTGAATTCCTGAGGCTTTTAACTTTATGCTAATTGGCTATTGTTAATGTCAACATACACTCTAAGATACAAGAATAATAGTTACAATGTCTATACCACCTCATGGCTTGTAAAGCACTTTACAAATATTATATCATTTGATCCTCACAACCCTGGTTAGTTGGTGCTATTATTATCCTCAATTTAAAGATGAGGAGCCTGAGGCAGACAAAGGGTTAAGTGATTTGCCCAGGATCTAACACAGAGGCTCCCAAACTTATTTGGCCTACCACCCCCTTTTCAAAAAAAAAAAAAATTACTCAGCGCCCCCCTGGAAATCTACCTTCTTTAACCTTTTAATGTTTTTTTTTATATTTGTATCATTTCAAAAAAATGTAATTTATTTAAATAACACATCTTAAATTTAATAATTTATTGCAGATTTGTGGGTTTTTTCCTGCATTGAAGTTTTGCTGATGCAATATTGCATCATGTAACCATATAGTATCATATTGTAAACAAGTTATTACATGAGCATATTCCTGCCGATGCATGCTGGACTTTCCGACAATGCGCAACACGAACACACTCACCTGCCAACACTTGCTTGTTAAGGCCTATTGGTGGACTTGACCACTGATAGGTTATAGCTTGCATTTTGTGTGTTTATTTGGAAAATAACGTAATCACTATGACCTTAACTCTGTTACACAACAAATGGAACATGTACGAATAGTTTTTCAAAATTTTGCTATATTCTCTTCTTTCCTTATGCTTCCACCACCCCCTCATTTTTATTCAATACCCCCCAATTGCACCCAAGGCTACTACTTCCCCCCTGGATCATTCTAGTGCCCCCCAGGGGGCAGTATCACCCAGTTTCGGAACCTGTGATAGACTCTTCCTGAGTTCAAATCTGGCCTCAGACACTCACTATCTGTGTGACCCTGGGCAAGTCACTTAACCCTGTTTACCTCAGTTTCCTCATCTGTAAAATGAGCTGAAGAAGGAAATGGCAAATCACTCCAGTATTTCTGCCAAGAAAACCCAAAGTGAGGACACAAAAATGACTGAAACAGTGGAGTCAGACACAACTGAAACAGCACAACTACTTATAAATAAAGAATTGATCCTGTAGCTGGAATAGTTCAGGAAGATTCCCTAGGTATAAAAGTACCTGGGTTCAGGCTCCTCGCAGTTTTCGCTGAAGGAGTTGTTCTTAGTCTTTTTGTGTGTGGAAATTGTGGAAATAGAATGGTTAATGACTTTACTAACCACCTTAATCTGTTTGAGCTTCTTTACTATACAGAGGAGGCCAAATTGACTTGGGAATCAGAATCAGCCAATCAGGAGGCAAACTGAACATCCCTCAAGCTTAACATACCTGAGATCCTTGCAAATTCGCTTGCTGAACCCAGAAATCCTTCCAAACTACTATAACAAACTGATTATTGATAACTACTTGGGGAAGTTCAGAGCTTCCCTCCCCCCCCACCCCGGCCCCACCTTCTTCCAAAGTCTTGACTTTAAGTTGAGTTTTTCTTCAGAAGGACATTGCTTATAATGAGATTGCATTGACTCTCCTTATCCTGGTCAAATCCCACCCACTCTTACAAAGAATTTAATCTAAAGTGGGTAAGCCCATTGTGTTTTACTTAAACTTGGGTAGAGACAGATTCTTTTGTCTAGATAGGCCAGGCTGAGAGTGGTCTGGTATAGCTGGGAGCAGTCTGGTATAGAGATATTTTCTGTGTCCAGGGTATGATGGAGTGACATCAGACCCTGTTGAAAGGGTATATGAACTGTGCAGCCTATCCCCAAAGGGAGCTCAGTTATGACTGCAGCTCCCATGCATTTATATGCATGCCTGCCCGCTTTGAGAGAAATAAACACCCATACAGCCTAATTCTGTTTGTCTTTTTTAGACCAAACTCTGGAGGCTGACATGTGTCATGGACTCTTTTGGCAGTCTGCTGAAGCTTTATGAACTCTCTCAGAATAACACTTTAATACATAAAAAGAAATACATAGGAATACAAAGGAAAACAATTATATTGAAATACAGTTATCAAAATATTTTTTAAAAGCTCAGAATCCTTGAAGGCTGTTAGACACACAGATTCTAGAACTTGTGTGTTCATACTGGCATACACTGGCACGAACACTGTGCCTTGGCTCACTTTGGAAGGTGTATCTCAGAAGCCCTCAGACAGCATCCTTGCCCATCACTACCTTAGGAAGGATTTTATAGATATATATTTATGATTATTGATTTTGTACTTTAGCAGATCAGTCTAGGTTTGGACAGAGTAGTCTGTATTTCTTCACAGTCATATTGCTATATAATTTGTAAATGGGTTATAAAAATTTAGAGGTATGACCTTTAGGGTTGTTGTGTTTTGTTTTGTTTTGTTTTGTTTTTTTAAGCAGAGAAGGTATTCCATTTAAAATGTTTAGCAATAACGTATACAAATGCTCTAAAGTTTTGTACTTACAGCTCTCTACCCTAAAGCATTTGGTTGCTTTTTTTGGGGGTGTGTGTGAGGCAATTGGGGTTAAGTGACTTGCCCAGGGTCACACAGCTAGTAAGTGTCAAGCGTCTGAGGTCAGATTTGAACTCAGGTCTTCGTGACTCCAAGGCTGGAGCTCTATCTACCGTGCCACCTACCTGCCCCGATTTGCTTTTTTTTTTTCCAGTTGCTTTTTAAGAACAGAATTTGTGTGTGTGTGTGTGTGTGTATACATACATATAGATATGGAATAAACATTTATTCATAATTACCTTTACAACATTAAGATAAAAAAAAACTCATGGGCCCCAGGTTTAGATTTTCTGGGCTAGTGTTTAAAACGTAAAATTATTATAATATTTTATACATTTTTTTTTCACAATTTGACTTGTTATGCCCCCACCATCTCATTAAGCTCATCTCCTTCCTAACTTTGAAAAATTTAGTTTAGAATACAATTACTTATGAAGAGCCTTGATCAGGATCATAAATTTAGAACTAAAAGAGGTTATCTACTCTAGCTCATTCATCTTATAAATGTGAGAAATGATTATTAATAATTAATTACTTGGGAAGATTCAGAGTTCCCCCCTTTTTTCTATCTTCATTTCAAGTCCTGAGTCTTGGAATGTTGAGCTAACCTTCTCTATCTGACCCCACCCAACCTTACAAGGAATCTCTAGTCTGAGGTGGATTCCATTCAATCAAGTTTGGAGGGAGACAGACCATTTTGTGTCTAAATTGCCAAGGTTGGAGGTGGTCTGGGTATATACACTCTCTGTCCAAGTGTGACATGATGTTACTCTCAGCCCCTCATTGTAATAATCATTCTCTCATTAATTGTTAACTAATCAGGGTTGATTACTCTTGGAAGGGTATATAAACTGTGAGCCATGATTGTCTTCAGCCTAAGAGAGACAGCCAAATGACCATCCTTTTATTAATAAACATGCTGGCCTTATTAATAAAATTATCAAGTTACCCAGAAACTATATCTCTTGAACCTTTTTAATCACCACATAGATGAGAAACTGAGGCTCAAAATGGTAAAGAGCCTTTCTCAAGGTCATGTTGTTCAGTCACATCTGACTCTTTGTGACCCCATTTGGGGTTGTGTGGCAGAGATACTGGAGTGGTTTATCATTTCCTTCTCCAGCTCATTTTACAGATGAGGAAACTGAGGTAAATGGGGTTAAGCAACTTGCCCAGGGTCACACAGCTAGGAAGTGTCTGAAGTCAGATTTGAACTCAGGAATATGAGTCTTCCTAAGGCACTCTATCCACTGCACCACCTAGCTGCCCTGTCCAAGGTCAAACAGGTAGTATATACATGTAGTAAATAGTAGATCCAAGATTCAAACCCAGGTCCTGTTTCCAAAGCCTTCATTCTTTCCACAGCACTTGCAGCTAAGGTGTATCTAGTGTAGCTTAAAGCAATAGGGAGCCCCTGAAAGTTTTTTTGATGAAGGAGTAATACGGTTAGACCTTTGCATTAAGAGCACTTTTGTTAGCTGTATGAAAGCCAGACTAGAGAAGGTGCACACTCTGGGACAGTCCTTCGAGCTCTCATATTCCTCGATTCTATAGAATCTATGACATCAGTGGAATGTGTTGCTGTTTCTATGGGCCTCCTGCGGAAGATGGGGTGGGTGAGAATGCTCACAGCCAAGGTCCAACTTGGACTGATCTGGGGGAAGATAAAGGAAGCTCTGCTGCCGCTGGGGTGCTCCCAATGTGGCTGCAGTTGCCCCCAGAGTCCTGGGAACCTGCTGATTCTTCTGCTGTTCCTGATTTGGCAGTTTAGGAGAACGTGTCACCGATGGCTCCCAACAAAGCAGGATGGGAGTCAAAGCATGGTGAGTAACTGCCATCCCCCATCCCCAGACACAAAGTGACCCCCAGACACAAAAGGGCAAAATTGACTACTGCCATCCCCAAGACACAGGGCAGGGTGAGTGACCACTTTCTATTGGATATAAAGCAAGGCAAATGACCACTGATCTCCTGGGCATAAGTCGAGGCAAATAATTCTTGATGCCCCATTACACTGTGGGGTTCGTGGCCACTGACCACCAAATGTGGTAGGGTGAGTGACCACTTACTTGTAGACAAGGAACAAGGCAAGTGCCATTCTGGGCACCACATTTTGGGAAAGATGTTGAAAAGGGAGAAAGCAGAGTAATGTAGAGTAGGGGTGAGCACTAGATTTGGGGTTAAAGGACCTGAGTTTGAATCTAAGTTCAGTTACTTATTATCTATGTGAGTTGGACAAGTTATTTAAGTGCTCTGGACCTCAGTTTCCTCATTGGTAAAATGGGGATATTATACTAAATAACCTCTAAGTTATCTTCCAGTTCCAGATCTATGATTCCATGACCCTAAGCTGGTCAGCATCCTGAGGAGGCCAACTAGGACAGTGAAGCATCTTGTTATGATCATGTCATCCGATGATCCTCTGACGAAACAGGGAGTGTTGAGCTTGGAGAAGAGAAGGTTGAGCGGGGGATGGTATCTGTCTCCATGTAACAAGACTAACTGGAAGAGGGTTGGACTTAACTCTGCTGGGTCCCCGAGGGTAGAACTAGCAATCAAGTGTAGAAATTTCAGAGAAGCCAATTTAGACTTCATGTAAGGAAGATCCCTAACAATGAGATCGTCCAACTCTAAGAAGAATCCCTTCCAGCTCCCAGATTCTGGTATTCTGCCATCACTGGCTCCCAGAAACTGAGTGACCACTGACTCTAAGACATTGAAGCAAAATGAGTGATCACTGACCCATAGATGTAAGCAGAATGAGAGACCGTTGACTTCTGGACATGGGACAAAGAGGAGTGACCCCTAGGATACAAGGCAGTGTGACCACTAGCTCCAAAATAATATAGGACAAAGTGATAGAACACTGACTTCCCCCAGACACAGGAGTGAGAGATTGACTTCTGGACACAAGGCAGGGTGAATGATCATTGACCCCTTCCGCAGACACACAGGGAAGAGTGTGGGACTATTGACTTCTAAACATAGGGAGAGATAAGTGACCATTGACTCCTAGGATATAAAGCAGAATGACTCTGTTTCATGCGGCCACCAGCTCCAAAACATAAAACAGGGTGAGTTACAGTGACTTCCAGATACAAAGCAAGGGAGAGACCATTGACCCCTGGACACAGAAAAAGATGAGTCCTAGGACCCAAGACAGGACAGGGGAGTTACCATTGACCCCTAGAAATAGGACAGGGTGAAAAACCACTGACCCCTGACATGGAGATGCTTGAATGACCACTACCCCCAGGACACGATATAGGGTGATTGTAGACCAGTAATAAGGCAAAGGAAGTAACCATCAGATACATTGCAGAGTGACAATTACCAGTGGGTACAGAGCAGGTCAAACAACCACTGCCCCCCTTGACACATGGAAGGACTATGTGAGTGACCATTGAGTCTTGCCCCCATACAGAGCACAGAAGAGGTTGAGTAATGATTACCTTCCACCCCCAGCCATGCCTTCAGTTCTTATGTTATTCACTTCTCCCTCTACTCCCTAGGTCCTCCCATTTCTATTTCCTACTTACCCTAACTTCCTAGAGAGAATCCAAAGTTGGCAGCCCCTGAGCTGGAAAAGAGCTCTGTTCCACAAGGAGGAAGAAGAGGAAGAGGAAGAGGAGCAGGAGGATGAAGAGGAGAAAGAGAAGGATATGTTGGGACAGATGAGGCTAGCCCCTTGGTGGTATTTTCACCATAGGAAGATGGAGGCTGAGCAGAAGGCCTTAGGGACACCGAATAAAGAAGTGGGGAATCTACACCCCTCATTCTTGGGCCCTCATGGGGCATATCAGCCCTTTGTGGGTTCCAAAGAATTCCCAGTCAAAACAGTGACACCAGAGCCAATGCCCAACTCTCACTACCCTCACAGCTCTACTGGCCTGATCCAGGCCCCCACCTCCCTTTGTCCCTTGTCTACTTCAAGTGCCAAGGCAAAAGGGTACATCCAGCTCTTCTGGGGTCTCCCTTCCCTTCACAGTGAGTCCTTGGGGGTCACTTTCCCAAAGTCTGGTTGCACCTTTCCCACTGGGACCACTAATCAACAGTCACCTTCTGACACTCCTCTTATCTTCTTCAATGAGCTTTCTTACCTCCCCTTGCCCAACCTATCGGTTAAAACTGTGTCTCTTCCTCCCCTGTACCTCCTCTCAATCTCTCCCCTCCCTGTCTTGCATGGAAACTGTGAGGCTACAGAAATGGCATCCTCTGAGCTCCCAAATGAACCAGAAGCCCCATGGCAGGCCTCTGAGTCCCAACACCCAATCCTACCTTTACTATCTCCCCCACATTCCCCAGTGAAGCCTCAAGAAGCTGACGTCATGGAAGTCACAAAAGTGATGGCTTCAGATGAACATGAGGTCCTTGGGCCTCAAGATGTGCAACATAGCGAACTACCCTGGCCCCCTGAATCTGTATCCCAGACCTCCAGCCCTCCCTTAGTCCCCCTTCCTCAACCCCAAGATCCAGAGGAAGACCCCAAAGTGATAGGCTCTGAGGCCCTATTGGAGGACCAATGGCAGAACCAGTTTCCCCAGGACACTGACCCCTCAGCCCCAGCCCTCAATGCATCTCCACCACATCTGCTTGAGCCTCAGGGAGCTAGCCTCATGGGAGGCTCACGTGGGAGTGAGACTGCCCCCCTGAATCTTCATGGGCCCAAGGACTCATGCTATAACACCCAGCAAAGTGAACTGCCCTGGGCTGCTGAGACTCCAGCCTCCTGCCTCAGCCTGCACACCTCACCTGAGCCCCAAGGAACTGGCTTTACAGAAAATCCCTTTGTGATTCCTCATGTGCCTGAGGTCCCATGGGATACCATGCAAGAGAAAGAACCTCCCTGGCCTGCTGAGCCTCCAGCCCCGGTGCTTAACATGAACTCCCAGACTGAGCTGCAAGGAGCCAGCTCCACAGAAGTTCCAAAAGGGACAGCCCCAAGTTGGGACAGAATGCAGACCCAGCCTCCTTGGACCTCAGTCCTGTCTTCATTCCCTCAGGCTGAACCTCAAGGAGCCCACTTTGAGGAAAGCTCTGTCCCCTTAGCTAGTCCAGAGCTCCCAGGATGGGAAGTCCAGCAAATACATCTGCCCTGTACCCCAAGGCACAATACCCCTCCCCTGGAGCCCCCATCCCAGACCTGGCCTATCACTTTGAGGGTGCCAGCTGAAACTGAAGAGGACAAGCACCACCCACCAGGATCCCTCACAGGAGATATACTCTCAATGTCCAGGATAGTGACCTCCATGCCCCAGGAGGACGGAGCAATAGGAAAAGCACCTCTCCACCCCCAGGGGATCCTGAGCCCTGGAACTGAAGGTTGTGCCTGGAACAGAGAATCCAAAATCCAGATTAAGAAATACCAGTATAACCCTGGTCCCCATTCCCTAGCTCCCAGTCCCCCACTCCCTGGCCAATTTTTACCTAGGATCCCCATTCAACAAGACCTCTGCCCCCTGGCTACCTCCTACCCCCCAACTTGTCAGATTCCAGCCCCCAACCCTACCTCCCAAGGGGCTGTAGGAGCCCTGTCCTCTAACTGTGCCCATGTCCAAGCAAAGAAGGCTATATCTCAAGATACTCAGCCCCTACACTGCCATCCTCCTGCTGTCCCTCAGCTACAGCTGCAGAAGCTTGCTAGAGACGGGCAGGGCCCTTCCAGGGAAAAGAGAGAAGTCCCCTTGATGCCTCTCCAGACTCCTGACCTCCAGGCCACCAAGGTCCCAGAGCCCCAGTCCCTGAGTCAGTACAACAAGAACATGGCGGCTGCCAAAATGCCATGTGTGCACAGGAGGGCAAGACAAGAGGGGTCTGTGAGGTCAGAGCCCCCACCCCCAGACAAGAGCCAAGCCAAGACCACAGTCCCCAGACGGAAGAGAGAACACTCTAGGAAATCCAAACCTGGAGACCAGGGAGGAGGGGATGCAGGATGGGAAGTGTCCCCATCCAAAGGAAAGAGTCGCTCGTCGGAGGGCAAGAAGTTTTCAAGTCACCGTCCTGCAAGAAGGTCCTTGGTGTCACCACGTGAGGCGAACAGGAATCTTTGTCAAACTGCTTCCCAACCAGAGCTACCCCAGTCTTCTAAGGCTGAGACTTCCCAAATTCTGCCCTCACAGGGCCCTTCAAAGGGTCAGGGCACAGGTGGTGGTGACAGCTTGGACTCCCGACACCAGCAGAACCGCCCCCAAGGGGGCCGGGGTCCACGAAGGGAGGCAGAGAAAGAGAGCTCCTCTGGTTCCTCTGGCCCAGCTAAGAGACGCCTACAGAAGTTTCTGCGAGGGCTTCTGAACAGCCTATACAGCCGAAGAGCTCAGTCAGTGCAGTGTCTGCAGGCAGCAATGAAAATAGCCCAGGGTTCTAGGTCTGGCCAGGCTCTGCGTCTGACACCCCAATAAAGAGACAGAGCTCTTCTGTAACTCAAATGCTGCTGCTGCTTTCTAGGCCAACTTGGTGGATCAGAGTGGGAGAGAAAAGATTGATTCCCTGTCAGCCATTTGGGTCCTGACCTTTCCATTCAAAAGGTCGTTTTCCTTGACTTGGAAAACAAATACGAACTTAATTGTTTTGAAACTTTGAATTTTTTTCAATTACCAGCATTTCTTTTCTCCCTGACCCAAACCCTCCATCACCTGTTGAAAAAGAAAAAAACAAAACCCTGGCAACAAATATGCATAGTTAAGCAAAACAAATTCCTACATTGGCCATGTCCAAAAATATCTCACTCTGCCGTCAGGCACTTGGGTGGTGCAGTGGATAGTGGAAGGTCTGAGTTCAAATTCAGCCTCACACATTTACTAGCTGTGTGACCTTGGGCAAGTCACTTAATTTCTGACTGTCTCAGTTTTCTCAACTAGAAAATGGGATAACAGCATCTACCTTTCAGGGTGGTTGTGAGGATCAGATGAGATAACATAAAGTGCCTGGTGTGTAATAGGTATTGTATAAATGCTAATTCCCTATCACCTCTCTGTCAAGAGGTGGATAACATGCTTCATCAGTCCTTTGGAATCACGGTAGGGTGGTTGACCACTGCACTGATCAAACTCCTTAAGTCTTCCGAAGCGATCTATAAATTGTTCTCCTGGTTCAAAAGCAGGCAGCATTGAGCAGCTCTGCTTTCCAGTAGTTGCCACCCCATCCATTCTGCCCCATGCCTTCTCTGATGTTCTTTTCCTCAGTATAGCTAAAATCCTGGAAGGGAGACATTCCCCATGTCTTCTCTGATGACCTCTCCCCTGGCCCAACCTGTTAAAAACTTTGTCCCTTCCTCTTCCACTCCTGCCTCTCCTCCATACCCTGACTGGAAACTGTGAGGTCCCAGACTTCCCTGTTTGAGTCCCAAGGACCATTCATTGTTCTTAACTGTTTCTGAATTTAAGGACTGCTGACAGCAGTATCCCAGTGCTATGTTTTTATATTCCTCTGTTGTTACCTGTTCTTGTTCCCATCTTCCCTACATGTCTTTATAGGAAAGTTGATGGTGGGAGTAGGAGTAAAAGGGTAATTCTTGCTTCCCCCTCCACATACGTACACATTAATTTGAGAAAACCTTCATCCTCATTTGAGAACACATATCCAGGACATGTTCTTTGACATCTTGTTAAAAGGACAAAGGCAACTCCTGATTCATTTTCAATGACTGGAGCTATCTGCAAGATGGTTGGTTAGCTGGGTTTCAGGAGAACAGACTCTCATTGTAAGAAATTCCTCTTTAACTGGACTATAAAGGAAAGTGACAGTTGTTACTGCACCCTTTTGCTTCTTTTTTTCTTTTCAGAGGACACAGTAGTGCGTAGTAGAGCTGGGGGAAGACTGGGGTTGGGTGGGAATGAGGAAAGAGCCTGAGAACATATTGTCTCCTCCCTCTCTGGAAACTGGTAATGACCACCTTGGGTAGATGAGATGGATAAGCTCATCTACATGGCCTGCAAGGAAAGAGCCTAAGAATGGACTTTCTCAGCCCACAAGATGGCAACAGTTAGGGTATGGTTATATTTCTTGCAGAAACCCACTTGGCCTGAGAAGGATGTCATAAGCAATGTTCCTGAACCCTAGACTTTTGGGAAGGGGAGGGGTGATGGAAGGAGGGTTCACTTTCCTAGGTAACATGATTCCCAGACTCTAACCTTCCAGTCAAAGAAGGGGGATTTCCTGGTCAGCATCAGTCATGGGATTGCCTTGTGAGTGATCCCAGGTTAGAGGATTCTTACCTACATATCTGTCCCCTTTTCTCAATTCAGTCTCTTATCACCTCTGCCTTACTACTGAAATAATATAATTTATGAGTTCTTAATTCAGGGTCTATAAACTCTTTTTAAAATATTTTGATAACTATACTTTGATGTAATTGGTTTCCTTTGTGATCGCCTGTATTTTACTTTATGCATTGAAAAATATTATTTCAAGGAGTTCCCAGCCTTCACCAGACTACCAAAAGAGTTTGTGATACAACAAAGGGTAAAAATTGGGCTCCCCTCACTAATTCACCATTGGTGGAGTTGTGAACTGATCCAGCCATAATTTGAAACTATGCCCAAAGTGCTACAAAACTGCATACCCTTTGACCTAGCAATATCACTACTAGATCTGCATCCCAAAGAGGAGGGGAAAGGACTTTTTTTTTTTTTTTGGTGAAGCAATCGGGGTTAAGTGACTTGCCCAGGGTCACACAGCTAGTAAGTGGCAAGTGTCTGAGGTCAGATTTGAACTTAGGTCCTCTAGACTCCAAGACCTGAGCTCTATCCACCGTGCCACCTACCTGCCCCAAAAGGACCTATTTTTAAAAAAAATATAGTAGCTTTTTTGGCAGTGGCAAAGAATTGGAAATTGAGAGGACGCCCATCAATTAGGGAATGACTGAACAAGTTATGGTATATGATTGTAATGGAGTACTATTGTGCTATAAGAAATGATGAGCAGTTGGATTTCAGAAAAATCTGGAAAGACTAACGTGAACTGATACAAAGTGAAGTGAGCAGAATCAGGATAACAGTAATAGCAATACTGTACAATGATCAACTGTGAAAATGACTTAGCTGTTCTCAGCAATACAATGATCCAAGACAATTCCGAGGGACTTATGATGAAAAATGCTATCCACCTCCAGAGAAATAATTGACAAAGTCTGAATGCAGATCAAAGCCTATTTTTCACTTTCTATATTTTTATGTGATTTTTTTTCCTTTGGGTCTGTGTCTTCTTTCACAACATGACTAATATGGTAATATGTTTTACATCACTGAACATCTATAACCTATATCAAATTGCTTATTGCCTCAAAGAGAGGAGCGGTGAGAAAGGGAGAGAGAAAATTTGGAACTCAAAAAAATTTTAAATGAATGTTAAAAATTGTTTTTAACTGGGGAAAAAATAAAAAAGAATTGAGCTCCCTACCTCAGCTCTCTCCCTTCTTCTGTCTATCCACATCTTAACAGTTGCTAAAGTGATTTTCTGAAGCACAAGTCTAACCATATCATTCTCCTGCTCCATAAATTTCTGTGGCTCACTATTACCTTTAGGATCAAATACAAACTTACTCTGTCATTTAAGACCCTTCACAACCTGACTCCCATTTACTTTTACGGTCTTATTATATATCATTCTTTTTCACAAACTCTACTGTCCAGCCAAACTGGCCTTCTACTTTCTTTTTGTGCCTTTGCATTGGCCGTGTCTTGTGCTTGGAATTCACTCCTTCTTCACCTCCACTTCTTAAAATCCCTAATTTCCTTTAATGCTCAGCTTGTGCCTCCTTCTATCTGAAGTTTTTATTCGTCTCCCCCCACCCCCCAACTATTGCTAGTGCCTCTCCTTCAACAGGTTCTTTGTGGAGCATATTGGGAAAGTTTAGGCGGCAGCTCCCAGGCATAATAGTTAATCCCCACATGTAACAGGAATTTACTGTGGTAGGGAGGGTGACACAGACGAGGAATCGTGCAAGAGGGAGAGGATGGGAAAGAGAGGAACCCAGGACAGTTCATGTATCATAATCCCTCTCCTTTGGTGGATCTCCTGGGCTCAGGAATTCTGAGCTGCAGGAGGGTGGGGTCTGTGAGGTATCCGCACTGGTTGGAGCATCAGTGATGTATTTCTGTATTTCTGACCTGGGCAAGTTAAACGAATATAGGAGAGAGAAAAAGAGGGGGAGAGAGACAGAGAGAAAGGGGGGGAGGGGAGGGGAGGAAGAACATTGGAGTCAGAAGATTTGAGTTCAAATCCCACTTCTGTCACTGCTTCTTACTACTGTGTTAACTTGAGCAAGTATCTTGACCCCTCTCAGTCTCATTTTCCTCATCTGTAAAATGAAGCTTGAACTAGATAACTTAAGCAGGGGTGGGGAACCTGTGACCTCGAGGCCACATGTGGCCCTCTAGGTCCTCAAGTGCGGCCCTGTGACTGAATCCAAACTTCACAGAACAAAACCCCTTAATAAAAGGATTTATTCTGTAAAACTTAGACTCAGTCAAAAGGCCACACACAAGGACCTAGAAGGCCACATGTGGCCCTGAGGCTGCAGGTTCCCCACCCCTGATAGGGCCAGCTCTAAATCTATGGTCCTTTTAAATAGTGGAGAAAAACAATCACGTCCCATTAGGAGGCTGCCTGGTTAGCTATCCTTAACAATTCTGTGGGCGGTTAGGTGGTCCTGGAGTCTGATGGATGTGAGTTCAAATCTGACCTCAGATACTTACTAGCTGTGTGACCCTGGGCAAGTCACTTAACCTTGTTTGCCTCAATTTGTCATCTGTAAAATAAGATGGAAAAGGAAAGGGCAAACCACTGCAGAATTTTTGCCAAGAAGACCCCAAATGGGGTCACAGAGAGTCAGACACGTCTTAACATCAGCAACGTGGTAATTATCAGCCAATACTTAACTACTTTCTAGCTGTTTGGAATGAGAGAGGGAAACAATAACTCACCCTTACCGTGCTTAGCCCCAGCCAGCACAATAGTAGCCTCCAAATAAGTCATATAACTGGACTTAGAAGAATTACAGGACCTTGATTCAAAACTGATTTGGAAAGTCCTGTGTCCCTTGAAAAGAAACACTTTCACTAGGTGGAGATCAGGAAAAAACTAAAATGTAGTGAACCTGAAATGGTAAATAGACCTTGCAAGTTCTACTCCCCAGAAGAAAGGAGGGGAGGGGAAGAGAGCCTGGTCCAAGATCCATCAGTCCTCTTCCCATTTTCTGAGTCCTTTAACTACCCCAGCAGAAGTGGCAATGCAGTGGCTACATTACCACTGCATTCAACTGTGGATGGTTGTGAGGGTGTCCCACAGGACTGCCGTAAGACCCACTCACAAAACCACCCGGGCTCTCTCCCCACTCTAGGCAATTCCGTGCCCTGTTCTTCTAACAAACATATTCTATTTGTGTAATAATCATCCCTCA